TATGTAGTGCGCTATATTTGCTGTATGGGTATCTAGCTCTCCACCACCTGAACAAGCTTTGTCTCCTTTGCAGCAACGACTTTTTGAGAATTTTCACGGGGAAACATTTCACGGTAGAGATGTGTTCTCTTTGATATCAAGGCAAGCGCATCTGTTTTGGCGGAATACTCGTGAGACACCTGTGTCGTTTCTGAAACTCGCCAACGATATACTCCCAACCTTCGATAGGTGCCCTTTTTGCACAAGTGTCAGAAGCAGAAAGATGTGACGAAAGAAGAGGTCTTGTAACGTCTTGTTTCCCCGGGGGAAACTGCTAGCTGCCATCTTTTAAAAGTGATATAAAATAACTTTCCTATTATACGCACGCTCTGATTGGCCAAAAATTATATGAGAGCATAAAACACGCTCGCGTCATTGATTGTTTTTACTCCCCTTTTTTTTCTCATTAATATTTCAGCGCTTGTTATTTTATAAAAGCAATAAAACAGTTTTCTGTTTATTATACTCTAATAAAAACACGCGGGATGTGGAGTACGGTGGCCGAGGAGTGTCATGAAAATCAAAATTTAAAATTCGAAATTCAATATTCAAAAGTAGAAATACCTCGTGCAATTCATAGGAAAGTAGAATGAAGTTTTCAAAAAGACAAATTCAAATTATGGAAATAGTCAAAAGTACTTTTGAAGTAGTTTTGAATTTCGCATTTTGCACGATGAATTCTCCATTCTGTGTTTTGCCTGGAGTCAAACGGCCGAGGAGTGTCACCAGGCGTTCCTAGGAAATATGAGAGAAGACTGGACGCTACATTTTGGGTTACCTGTGGCTAACTTTCAAAATGGCGGATTAACCGGACGAAGAAGGTCAGTGCCCTAAAAAGTCTAAAAATCTTGTTTATTGTTCTTGTTGGAGTACATCGTGTATGTAAAATTATCTTTTGATTTATTTGCTAGAGCTTATAAAGTTTATATCGGAACTGATCCAGGCCAACAAGGAGATGATATTAAAATACATCAAGAAAAGACATGACATTTCTTGGTCGTAAGTTAAGCTTAAGTTTAATTCTTCATTCTTCATGCACATATAAAATAAAATTGATTGATATTATTCATTAGGGAATGATGCTCTCTATAAATTACTCTAAGTCAATAGATCCCAATAATCTAAATATATTAGTTACTTATTGTGATCAGTGAATTGTGAATGAAGTCTTATTTCATGACGAGCTTTATACAGTTTTAAACTGCTCAACGGGAGGCACATTAATCCTACTTAACTATGGTAATATATCTCACTTAGCTGACAACTCACGTCAACATAGCACTTGACCCACAGTGACCTTTCCGTGATTCCTTCTTCGCATGTAGCGTGACATGACAAACGTGACAAACTAATTACATTCAGGCTCCCATATGCCCTAGCGTGCCGTTTTGTTGTTATGATTTCGATAGTTATTATGAAAGTTCTGTGAGATATCACGTTCGTATAACTGACAAGTACACAATGTTAATAGTTAATATGGAACCACTGTATAAATACATGGTTTGGCGCTCAAATTTGAAATTATCGAGGGAAGTCTTGCATCGGCAAACATGTAGGTCTTATCGACATGACGGTTCACCGTGTATATTCTCCTTCTTTGTGCCCGAACAAATGCTGGTACGCGCAATGTTTAAACAGCAAAGATGACGATTGAAAGACTACATTTCATCGGATGTCTGCAAAGCGTTTCCTTCTGAATATAAAGTCGTCTCCTTCGCAAGTTTACAAAATGGCGACGGTGGAAGACCCTTGTACGAGTGGTTTGGATCATCAAGAAAGAAAGACTCAGTTATTGTTGCTACTTCTTTCGGTATGATTGCCAAGCATCTGAGATCTAAAAATATCAGCAATGATCCCTTTGTTCAGTCAAATGAATTCAAATTTATCGCCCAGAAGATAGCTGGCATAGATCTCGAAGAAATGGCGGGAAATCAAACTTACGCTGTACCAACACCACTCACACCACCAGCGACTCCAGGAACACCAGAACTAAGCACTCAAAGCCAAGTGAATCCACTCGAAAAAGCCGAAAAGGGCTGCAGTAATGTTTGTAGCAATATTTTGGCTCTGCGCAATTTGAAAGAGNATTAAAATACATCAAGAAAAGACATGACATTTCTTGGTCGTAAGTTAAGCTTAAGTTTAATTCTTCATTCTTCATGCACATATAAAATAAAATTGATTGATATTATTCATTAGGGAATGATGTTCTCTATAAATTACTCTAAGTCAATAGATCCCAATAATCTAAATATATTAGTTATTGTGATCAGTGAATTGTGAATGAAGTCTTATTTGTGTGCCATAAATAAAATTCTTATCAACCCATAGGTTGTAATGATTATGTTAATTTATGCATATTATGTACCGCACATGTGAAGCACAGTCAGTTGAATAAATACACAGTATGAGAAAATAATGTTGGTTAAATTTTTGCAGGTGCTATCTTATTTGTCTTTTCCTWTTTTTTCAAGGAGAAGCACTCTTAACCGTTTCCTCGCAAAGAACAGTATTAAGCGATATGACAACAATCTTACACCAAAGGATGTTGTATCTGCTATTGAGGTAATATATRCCTGTTGCTTTGCAATGTATGCATGAATTGTACATTATGGGGATAGYGCAATGGGTTTGAAAAGTGAAAATGTTATAATTATGCATGATAAGGTAGGTTCTTGATGGAAGATAAGAAAAGGGAAGAAAGACAAGCATAAATGGGCATCCACATCTGATTGTCAAATTGTTCTTGTTCTTAGAGTGCATTTATTATTTCAGTTTGCAAACCAAATTGTCAAAACTGGAMTTTTTAATTTTCTATGTTTTTRCAAAGTATTTCAGGGATGTACATGTAATCAATATATTGTACTCTATCATTTCTTATTGCGACAAAACTAAATTTAAAACTGTTACATGCATGAAATGGAAAGTGTCTGGTTACATTTTCTAAAACTCTACGACCAGTTAGAAGAAAATTCAGGCTTATATAGTCACAATATTGATTTATTTACCTTTATAATTATTTTAAAACYACTTATTCAATGAATTAGACTGAACTCAAAGGGAGTGCAAAGAAACTTGGTTACAGGCTAATKTGGACAAGGATCAGGCGTCGTGGTTTCTTAGTCACAAGGTATAAGAAAAGATAAATGTTCTTTTAATTTTATAAATTAATATTAAATAAGGGACAATGGAAAATAGTATGATTTTATATCCTTTCGCATTACTTTGTAGCATTGATTGCAATAACAAATTTGTAAAGGTGATTACAAATGATTTAGACTCTGCATGCAATGCATATGAACATGAATTTTATTTTAGGGACCAAGTTTCAAGTTGTATGAAACTTCTTGGTGTAGAGTGTGAAAAACCCACCATCAGACGGAAACACTGTGCAAATTATTATTCTAAGGTAGGCTCATGTTTTGAGATGCCTTGTAAGATTACTTCAATGGATGTTAGTTTTGATTCATAAAAAAATATGAAATGTTGCCTGTTATAAAATTCACTCAAATTTCAATATTTCAAATTGATGCTTATTTGCAGGGACCAAACTACACATGGCATGTCGATGGGAWTGACAAACTGGCAAAATGGGGGTTTCATATTCATGGTGCCACAGATGGCTACAGCCGAAAGGTGCTGTGGCTTAAAGTCTTCACCACAAACAAAGACCCTTGGCTAGTCGCCAAATATTTCATCAAAGGGATTGAAGAAAATAAAGGTAATATTATTATATCGCTATCAAATTCCTTTATAATTCATAAGGAGAACACGTGATGGAAATAATTGCTGTGACCACATCTTCATATGAGCAAGAGAATTGTTCTGATCTGTATACAACATTCACTTGCATTTTCTCATAAAAAGTAATATTATATTAATATTATATTATTATTATATGCAATCTTGAATATTTTTGTTAACTATTCCTTAGGCAATGTTGGAATTTGATAAGCAATATAAAATAATTTATTGGATAATCAATGTAAAATATTCATTTTATGAAACTAGCAAAACAAATAAGACACGAAAGACTTTTATACAGATTTACGAGAAATGTATATTTTATATATTTTATTGTAGAGTGAACGTACTTAATCCGTGAAACAAATAGTACTAATTACTACTAAATAGTGTGGATCATACAATAGGAAACAAAGGAATCTGTATGATTTATCACCTATTTTGTAGTATGTATATTTCATGCATTTAGTACGAGCACTCTATTGAGAACAATACAMAATAGGCTTTTAAAATTCCGATTTCGTCAATGGTTCACTAGATATTATAGCTGGCACTGTAATGGTCTGATGCGAAGRGTCCAGGGTTCAAGTCTCCTGAGGTCGATAAATTCAATTTCAGAAATTGGATTTCACTTCTAAAATTTAAGGCAATTTGAACTTGTAATTTGTGCGTATAAAATTTCAGACTTGTGATAATATTGTGTAGAGTAAGTCACGGTACAACTGATAAGATTMAAAACCTGCATTAACCAATGGAAAAAGGGTGTGGCTAGTTAATAAGAACTAATTAAGACATACACTGGCTTTTTCTCAAGGTTGCCCATCAAGGATACGCTGCGATCCTGGGACTGAAAACGCTTATATTAGCAAGTGCCAGATGTTTTTCAAGAGGAATCACACTGACTCACTGGCTGGGCCAAAGAGCTAGTATGAAGATTCTTCGGTTAATAATCAGGTRCTATTCATACTGCTACTTCTAAATTTATGAGATTTTAATTTGCAATTTGATTTTATTTCTCAGCCAATTGAATCTTTCTGGAGGTATTTCAGAAAGAAGGTGTTCCAAGTTTGRATAGATCACTTCAAAGCAATCAATAATTGGATATGATACAATTTTCACATCATATACCATTTGACATTAAAATATAAAAGCTCCATCTTTTTATTTTTCTATAGAGTCTTCAACTGAATGGCAAATGGGACCCAGGAAACACAGTCCACAAGTAAGGAAGCTTGATATGTCATTTCTAATTTGTRTACTCATTTTTAATAATTCTCTGTTAGGTAGATGGTAGATAGTTTTATTCAAATAACTTGGCAGCCAAAGGCTGAATTACGTTAAAGTTACAATAATTGATATAAATATATAAATTT